ATTCTCATTTTGCAAAACTCTATTTTAACTTGTGGAACTCCATTTTGAAAAAGTTGAAATTTCTTCATTTACAAAACTTCATTGGCTCCTTTTCTTTTTTATTTATTTGCACATTTAAAATTGATTTTTAAAAAATTATTCAAACATCTTCAATTTATCAAATTTATCAAAATTAATTTATAAAGATTTATTTAAATATCATCACGTTCTAATAATAATTTTTTTTCAATTAAAATCTAAACATACCAATGAATCTTGATATACAAAACATCAGAAGAGTGACAAGAATTCAAGAGGGTTTCTTCTAACAAAGTAAATTAGAACATATCACAGAATTTTTTCATATGTCCCCATTTTAGGTTTGCTCCAAGAGAACATCATCAATTGTCTAGAAACTACAAAGCTCTACTTTTCTTCCATTTTATGACACTTGAGAAGTATAAAGCAGTGGAGTTTTTTTCTTCCTGTATATTTTTCCCTGTTAATATTACTAGCACATTGAAATGACAATTCCTCCTTACATAAAAAGTTTACTAGAATACAATTACACATCCGAGATCAATATAGGCTGGAACTACAATATTCTCCCTCGGTCTCTGTTTTGTATACCTTAGATCTTTACATGTGTAGTGCATATTTCAAATTTATGTGATCCATAATAAGGTTCTCTTAACAAGAAAATTGAGGCTATGTAGCAATAGAATCTTGAAGAGTAAATGGAGCTCTGTTGGTGACACCAGCGGCAGATGTGAACGGCGAAGTACGAACTGCTTGAGTCGTGCCCAAAAGGACACTATCCTTAAAAATTATTCCGGCACACCTTCTGACAACTGACAGTTCCCAGGATTAAACAAGCACTTCCTACGGCAAACAAGGGAATAGAACAACAGAGACTAAAAATCAAACACAGACGTAAAGATGAACACAAGAGCAGAATGGAGAGGGAGGAGAGAAATTACTCCGAAAACTCAAGAGGTTGGTATCCTATTCTGTCTGCACCCATGGCTATATATAGCCTGGGAAGGAGACATGAACGTTGGCTCATAATCACCGGATTAAAGCTTCAATTACACTCTCATAAATCACAGTTTAAGCACTTGTCTAGGGCGATTTATTTGGAGATGTTGGCAGACAAAACATTAACTCACAAAATCAATTTTCAGAAGAGGTTTAATGCTAAAAAACTGCTGAGACTTCAAGTTCAAATTCAAAACAGCAAAATTAAATTATTTAATTATTTTTGTAAAAAAACTCAATAAAAGAAACCCATTGCCTCTTAAACTCGCGCCAAGGGGGCGAATCAGCTGATTTCAACT